AAATAAGGAAAGTAAAAAATAGTATGCCTCAATCAGTGTGCGGACTCCATCAGCACTTTCTCTTGATGTGAATAGCATTTTTTTTTGTCATGAGTCCTTTGGAGTTGTCTTGGATCATTTTATTGCTGATAATAACTAAATCATTCACAGTTGATCATCATACAATATTGTTGTTAATGTGTACAATGAAAAATACTGACTTTAAATGAATTTGTCATCTGTCTTGTAAAAATTATGCCCCAGGGTACAAAAATTATTTTATATGTAACCACAGAGCCAATCAAAGAACTTTGAGGAGACATAGACAATGAAAGGGTTGAGTACAGGAAAATTATTTCTCCCTGCTTCTCAGAAATCAGGGTCTGAAAATTATCAACAATGAACTTGATATTTCTTTCCTGTCAGATTTGAGGTCAGCATTTTAAGCAAATATTTTGTGACCATTTAGAAAGGTTATTGTGCAATAGAATACAACAGTTCAATTTCTGAATTCAATTCAGTTTAATTCAGTTCAATTCAATTGCAATCAATTGCTAAAGTACGGAAATACAGACAAGACTATGTAGGTTTAAGCAAAACATTTGGAAAAGCCTCAACATATTCAAATTGATAAGTTAAAGAACTGTGAATCAGGCTTGAATTCAAAAAGATGCATGCAGCTTAGGTCCTGCTTTTTAGGAGAGAAAATAAATGTACTGTTGATCAAGAGGCCAGGAAGTATGGGGCAGCTAGGTTGTACAGTGCATAAAGCAGTGGTCCTGAAGTCAGGAAGACCTGAATTCAAATCCAACCTCAGACACTTACTAGCTGTGTGACCTTGGGGAAGTCACTTAATCTTGATTGACCAAAAAAAAAAAAGCCAACAAGTGTTACCTAATGAACTAAAGATAAAATAGAGGGAGCACTTTTATAATATCTTGGTGATTTCTGTCCTCAACCCTGCCTTATTCATCATTAAAAATAAAAACAAGACAAAGAAAAAATTTGAATGAAGATGTAATTAAAATCATTACAATATTTTTGAATGATGTGATGCTAAAAAAGATAGCTAATATTTAAAATGGCAGAATTGGAATCTTAAAAAAAAAACTTCAATAAACTACAATACCAAATTCAATCTAATAATAAAAATTTAAGAAGGTACCCAACCAAAGATTTAAGTGTTTTTGTAGACTGTAAGCTCATGTGAGTCAACAGTTCATTGTGGTAGAAAAAAAAGTAATGTGATCTTAAACTGAATAAAGAGAAGCATTGTATTCTGAAAGGAGAATTTAAGCAAAGAGCAAGAAACCTTTTGAAGAGGAGTGTTTCAGAAGGTTCAGAGATGGAGTAAAGAAGGTGGTCTCTGAGATGACTTATAACTAAGATTAAAAGTGTTGCTATAAAGCTTGCATGGAGTGGAGTAATGTTTAAGAAGGCTAGAAATATAAGAAGAAGCAAGACTGAAATAGACTTTGTCTCCTTGTGCAGTGTTACTGCAGTTTATTCAGTGACCCAGTAGTTGGTAAAGACTTTGCACTTAGTTTATATTTTTCAATTTGGCTGATTAATTGAGATATGTTCTTAGGTGATGAATGAATCAGGGATAAGTAAGACAGAGAGGTTTTGACACTCTACATACACACATGAATGTGTATATGAGTATAGATTTATAAACATGGATGTATATATGCATATAGATATATACACATGCATACATGTATAAAAGAATATTATGCATATCTATTATATTTATTATGCACATATATTATGAACTTAAAAACAAAATAAAATTATCTTTTTCTTCTATGTTATAGAACAGGAATGGATTGGATGTCAAACTTTTGATCTCTATCATGCAGAGTTTGATTTTCTTTTTGAGTATAAAATAAATATGATATATAACTTTCCAACATTTCCTGATTTTGATTTCTTCTGGCATTATTTCTGTTCTCTTTTTGTTTTGGAACCCTATCACCAAAATCTTTTTCATCCCTCCCTAATTAAAAAGAAAAACAAAATCCTTGTTATAAAGAATGGATAGTCAAGCAAAACAAATTCCCACATTGGTCATGTCCAAAAATATATGTCTCATTCCAGACTTATAGACCATAACATCTTTGTCAGGATGTGACTAGCATGCTTGAACTTTGGTGTCCTGGAATCATAGATGGTAAATACTTTTATGTGAATATTTAAGTGCTTAAAATTTGTCTTTACACTGTTGTTATCACGTAACCAGGAGAACAATTCATATACAATAATATTTTAATCACATGATCAAACATGAGGCTTCATGTAAAACTTCCTTATTATGTATTGTAGATACTCTCCCAGGAGTGTGGATCATATACAACCTGGCTTCTTTCTACCTTTCCAGTCTTCTATACCATACCCCCTCCTTGTATTCTAAGATTCTATGAATCAGGCCTCCTTGTTCCTTTCTGTTATTTGCACAAGATGTTCCATCCCTTAATCTTGCATATTTTCCCTACCTGTCCATCATTCATCCATTAGGGTTGCCTCTATAAGCTTCCTGCCCCCCATTCTCATTCCAAAGCCCCAGGGGGTTCATCATATCATTGCCTGACCGTGAAGACACAAAATCAACTTTAGCTCAACTGTAGTTCAGAATCATAAACTCAAGTTATCCAACAGGCTTAGCCTCCCAGCATCAGGGAGCCTAGATGTGCACTGCCACACTAATCTAAAAAGACTTTGCTAAGATGTACCTGTATGTGCATTTCCTTTTACCTATTCATGTAATACCCAAATCTAGGTTCATTACAAGCAACTACTATTTTCCTATTTGTCTGCAAAAGAAAAATTTGCAATGCTGGAGGCTACAAGATTTTGAAGTGCATCATAAAAATAAATTTCATATTCTTTCTTAAATTGATCAGAAATGATATAATTTTTGAAGTTACTGAAATTAAAACATTCAGGAAACTATGATATAAGAACATAAATAATAATCCTAAATGTTCATACATCTACAAAACCCAAATACATATGTCATCAACCCTAGAAAGGGAATGTTAGAGCTGGAGAAAAAATTATGATGATCTTATTTTACCAATATATACATTTATATATACTATCATGATAAACTATGTTGAGTATTATAGCTTACACACACATACACACACACACACACACACACACACTCTACATTGAATTTTTGACTTGAAGATTTTCAGTGGCAGACTATATATGTATAGTTGATTCTAACATTAAAACCTTTCCCCAAACAACCAGATATTTCACCCTGGAAAAACAAAAACAAAAACAACCATAAAAAAAAGTAACAACAACAACAAAACCTGATCTCCAGAGCAGGAGAGCTACTGAAATCTCAGGTCATCTTTAACATCTCTGTACAGTTAGACAGAAAAGTTTCCTGAAGAAAACACCAGTAAGAATTGTCAATATTTTGATAGTTTCATTGTTTTGAATTTACCAAGATTAAGAGAGAAATAAGTAGAAAATTGGAAGGAAATTTTATAATTTTTTTCAATAAGTGAAAACTAGAACTAAGACATTTTTGAAACCTAAGTTAGTTATATCTCTCTGTAACATGATGATTATTATTTGATGTAACTTAATTGAAATATCTAATTTCCATATAATTCAGGAAAAGAAAACCAAAAAGATGGCCAAATGAGAGATACCCTAAGGTTACACCACCTCCCAACACACCAAATAGTATAAATGAGTTTAAAATAGTTATTTTATTTTTATCAAATTTATAACACTGAGATTTCTCCAAAACAACATTTGTTTGAAATGTAAGAACCAAGTACAGAGGAACAGGTTGAAAGGAAGTCTGAGGACACCATTAAAAAGTCTTCCACAAAGAAACTAGAGCTAGAAACTTGATCTTCAAAGACCAAACAATAAATCTAGTGTCTTAAATTCTTAATTCTCAAACAAATATTTCAGAAAAGAGCCCTTTTCTTTTAAAAAAATGCAATATAAATCAATTTTCTCTGATAGTTTCCACTTTTTTGTGGAAAAAATAGTTTTTTTTAGGCTTCTGTGTAGAAATAAGAAACTTCAGATGTGTGATAGTAATTTAATTAACAATTTATATTTTTTTTGTGAATGTCTTGTTTAGGGCAATACAATTGAATGCTTAGTTTTTGTGACTATAGAGCCAGAGGGATATGGTGATGTATGGTAGATGAATAATGGAGTTGAAAAATTTCATCCCTGAGGGAGACTCTAAGTCCAGACACATTTGACTGAGATGGAAAGAAAATTACTTGTAGGCATTTTTTGACCTTTTTATAATTATATCCATGATTTCCAAATCAACACCTAAATCACTGCCTTTTCAGTATTAAATTAAAAATAAGTATGATGTTTGACTGTTTTTATAAGTTACTATTTCTCAGTGGCCTGAGCACCTGACTGAAAGAATTGTGTTTAGTTGGTCAAGTCAGGTAAATTCTCTGAGTCTTAATTTACTCATGTGTAAAATAAGTTATGAACCTAGGCCATTATCTGATATTTCTGAGGTCCATTCTATCTCTAAGAATCTGTTTTTATATCAAATAAAACTTAAGCAACGGGGATTATTTATAATACTATAGTATATATCTCTACTTATCTGTTTACTATGATAGTTTTTTTTGCAGTTATTCTTCTGACATGAAATAGATACATATATATTATTTCAGGCAATGATATTAAACTTTTGCAGTCATATCTCCTTATTTATCCTTTCCTATATATTCACTTGTTAGTAGGTTATTTCAGCATAAATTGTAAACTTTTCTTTTCTTATGCCTTATTTTCTCCTTATGGAAGCTTGTTTGTGGCTTATTTGTTACTCATTTCACATTGTACATCTAAATTCTAAATTAAGTGGCACAAAAAGGGATTGGTTTAGAAGTCAGTAATTCATTGTTTTACTTGACATAAATACCTAAAATGATAGAATTATCTTTAAATTTTTTTCTGCTATTATATAAAAGGATTAGTTTCATTTTTCTTATTTTTTAAAATTTGATTTTTAGTGTGGACAAAGTAGATGATGAAGATGATGAGGATTTAACAGTGAACAAAACTTGGGTATTAGCACCAAAGATACATGAGGGTGATGTCACCCACATCCTCAATTCTTTGCTTCAAGGCTATGATAACAAGCTTCGGCCTGATATAGGAGGTAAGCTTATTTTATTTTCATATCATTTTAATCATTTTAGGGAAAAATGAAAACATATATATATATAAAATGGTTGTCTTCATGGCTTAAATCACAATGGTTTAAGTATTCTTCATGTAGATATATACATATATTTGAGTGTATATATATGTAAATATGTACAGATATAAACCCATATAATACATACATACAAAATATATGTGATGCATACAGGAACACATATACACATATACATGATACATATTTTATGTAGAATGAAATTGTAAACTGCCTCCTAGTAATTTAGTAATTATTCTTTCTGTGAATAATACCATCATTCTATTAAGTAGAAAGGTATACCATTTAAGGTCAGAGTAAATTATTTTCATTTGTTTATTTTCTTGTTCCTTGTCAAATTAAGGCCCCTTGACTTGTAGAGTCAGTTACTATTTAATTGTCTAGGGAAATGAGGAGGATTGATTTTGTCAAATTCCAGAGCATCAAATTTCTCTGAGAAGTCATTTCCAGAAGGAAGATCAGTCTTGGATCTAAAAATCTGAGTAAAAAGACAATAATTGCAGGTGTGGAATGTAGCATACCCTTAGAAATGATTGCCTGTTGCTTGTATTGCTTAAATAATTTTCTTGGTTACAAAGAATAGTTTGGTAGGAGGAGTATACTCAGAAATTATTATAATATGAAACAAGGAAATAGCATTATTATTTTTTTAATTTTATAAATGTATATTCCTTTTATGAATTTTGTTTTAAGAAACTGAAACTTCCACAATCTCAATGACGAATCAAGGCTGGATTGGTTTCATCTGAGAACTCAAGTCCAAATATGTAATTAATTTACTTAAGGAAAGAGTGTTATCCTGATGCCTGCCAGAATATAGTGCAATCCCCTGATTCTAACAGTGGAATCTGTTGAATGGCCTGATACTTGGGAGTGATGTTATTTCAATAGTCAGTTGAATTTAATAAAAATCCCTAAACTTGAAAAAAAGATATTTTAATGTTATTAGTATTATAGCAAAAAAATAGAAACAATAGCTTTAATTATTTAATTTTTATTTTAATACAGATTGACCACTGCTTATTATGGTATAGTTGAAGATATTATGATTTTATTTTTTACATATTGAAAGAAAATCCCCACAGCTTTCTTCCAGTTCCTCCATTCACTGTGTGTATGTATGTGTATGGCTGTATACACACACACACACACACACACACACACACGTGTGTGTGTATATTGTGTGTCTATGTATATATATATATGTGTGTGTGTGTATGCACATATGTGTATATATAAGATACACTTATCTACATATAATATCATACATAATATTCAATAAGTATACAACATATTTCTATGGATACATCTATAGGTTTATATTTATGTGTATGTATCTATGTGTGTAAACATATATAGATAGATAGATGCACACACACACTGATAGAGATAGATATATATACCCATCATCTGTCAGTCTCTGGCTCTGTTTCTGTCTCTGTCTCTCTCTGTATCTATCTCTCATTATATATATATATATATGTGTGTGTATTTGTGTGTGTGTTTATAAATAATATTTAAATAATTTAAATCTCTAAATTTGGAGCAGCATGACATAGAGAGAGAAAGATAAAGAACTGGCCTCAAAGCCAGGACTTGGTTTAAAGTTCTGACCCTGGTACATCCTGACTGTGTTATCTTGGACAAGTCACTTAACTTATCAATGCTCTAGGTCAGAGGTATAAAACACATGGCCTATAGGCCACATGTAGCCCACAACAAGGTTGAGTGTGTCTCAAACCAGATTAAAATATAATTGGGATATATTTGACAAAACAAATAAAAACACAGTAAAATGGATATCACATTTTAAAACTAAGAAAATATGTGGCCCACAAGTCCCCATATGTATTCACTAATGGTTCTTGTTTTAACAGTGACATCATTGTTCTTGGTAACTTTTAAAGCTATATATTGTGGAGAAGGTACCAATCTGCATTGGTAGAGAGATTTTCCTCACTACAGAATCCCTATAACAATGAAGTTACATGCCCAGTACCTATCCAATATAATCTACTCTTAATATATGTCATCCTAGTACAGGGCTTTACTTAGCATTTTAAGTATACATAAGATAGTGATTTTAAAATTTAAAATTGGTTTCATATTGTCACATCTTGGCAATTCTGGTTGCTTAAAAGAACCTGATTTCTTTTTTTGCTATATTGCTGGACACTAAATCATTGGAGTTCTTAGGGATGTTTCTTTTAGTTAATTGATTTCCTGAGCTATTTTACATTTTCCTGAACTATCCTTTAAGACTCTATGGCCTTCTCAGATATGAATAATAACTAATGATTACTAGAAAACTAACTGCTCAGCTTGGCATATGCTGGAGTCCCTTAGAAAACCAGTCATGAAACATGCAGTGACCCTGAGCTGAGATTTACTGAAATAGTTTACCACTTCCCACCACTTCTTTTTAATCACCCTGTTAACCATTCTTCTGCACTACACTTTTGAAAAGTAACCTATCATTTCAAAATCATGAAAGAGGATATTCATGATCTTCTGGGGATATTTGCAAGTAAACTATAGTACACATTCCTAATTTCTGGAGCAATGAAAAAATAACTTAATTTCTTTTCCATTCCATTTTATTTTTTAAATATTAAGAATAATGGTAGCTATATATATATATATATATATATATATACTAGAATTTTACTCAAGATAACTATGGTATTGACCTTTATCCAAAAGACTGTAATTGCTGAAATATTAAAATAATTTTTATCATAAGGTAATTTAACATATAAATCAATTCTGTAGAAGAGACCTTAAGATTCAATGTTATAGCAGCTTCAAAAAGACTTGGTGGTTTTCAGAAGTATGAACTCACAGAAGCACAGCAGGAAAACACTAGAAGATATTTAGTAAAACCATTCATCTTATGTATGTCTCTCCTTGACAAAACCACTTATAAATGGTCAAGCATCTTGACCACTACATCCAGTAATTTATTTTATAGCATTAATCTAATTAGTGTCAGGAAACCTATTGCTTCTTAAAGAACTCCTTCCAATTTTAGAATTCAAATTATTGGGAAACTTCTTAACATAAAGCCAATATCTGCTTTCCTACAACTTACACCCATTGGTGTCATTTATTTTTTTTTTACCTCTCAGAGTAAGTTTTTCTTTTTCCCATGGTTTAGAAATTCAAATATTTAAGAGAAATGTTTGATTCTTTATTAGTTTCCTATTGTCTAGGCAAGCTAAATATTCAAAGTTGCCTCAAATATTCTTGATATGGCATAGACAACAACCTCCTTGTCATCCTTTTTCCTTTCTTTTGAATACCTAGAGATTGCTAATATCCCTGTTGAAATGTGGAAACCATAGTCAAAAAGAATGTGTCAAACAGGGCCTTCTTGGATTAGAATATAAGGGAAGTCTCATATGCCTATTTTTGTAAATTATTTTTCAATTTTTGAGTCTAAATTCATAAACATTTATTGTATTTTAAATCATCTTTCACTTCCTTGTCATTATTGATTGATGTCACTATTGCCTAACTTATTTTGCACATGAATTCTCTAACTACATCTTTGTAATAATTATTCTTTCTAATGAAATCAGATCCTTTGCATTTAACTCAATTGCTATAACAATAGAGAACTTGGATCCAAGTTCTCTAATCCAACATATTATCTACCCATCCTTTCATTCTGCAAATCTGATAAACATGTCATTTATGCCTTCATCTAGAACAGGACAAAACCTAAATATTTGAAGTTTTCCTTAGAAAGCATCTTTACAACATGACAGCAACCTATTGATAATTTGATCCTATTTTGGGATTGGGTTGTCCAATCCTTTCAGGAAATATCTTACTGTAGTAGTGGTGAAATAGAAAGAATGATTGATTTTGAATTGGAGGATTTTCATTTGATTCCCATCAACACTAAAATATACTGTTTCTATAATGTTGGGCAAGTCACATTACACCTATGTGCATCAGAAAAAATGAGAGGTTTGGATTAAGTGACTTCTAAGTGCCGTTTCTAGCTCCCAAGCTATTGTTCCTGGCTCTTTCCAACTTGTCTATAAAGGATTCTGTCAAATACTTTGCTGAAACCTAGCTGTACTGTATTTTCAGTGTAGTCTAATAATCTTGACAAAAATGGGTTGTATTTAGCATAAAAATAATGGGTTGTAATAAATTGCAATCACTGAGCAATTACACATTTTTCTGTGGCCACTCATGCTGACATACATTAACTAGCTATAGTTTAAAAGCCCATCTAACAAGATAAATTCAAATTTCACTATAATTATTGTCACAGTGATGCCTGTTTCCTACCATCTGGAGCAGGAAGTTTTTTTTTTCCTATTTGAAAAAAAATATATCATTTATTCAACAACTTTAATTTGAGTTCCAAATTTTTTTTCTCATTCCAACCTCTCCACCACCCACCGAGAAGGCTAGCAATACGATTACCATTATACATGTGAAGCATTGTAAAACATTCTCATATCAGCCATGTTGCAAAAAAAAAAGCAAGAAAAATAAAATGAAAAAAGAATAAATAAATCTGTACTCAGAGTTTATCAGTTCTCTCTCTGATGGTGACTAGGATTTTTCATCATGAGCTCATTGGAATTGTCTCAGATCATTGTATTTATTAGAGTAGCTAAGTCTTTCACAATTGATCATCATTAAAATGTTGCCTTTACTCCGTACAATGTTCTTAGTTCTGTTCACTTCACTTTGCATCAGTTCATATAAGTCTTCCCAACTTTTTCTGAAAGCTTCTTGCTTGTCATTTCTTATAGTACAATGGTGTTCCATCACAATCATATGCCACAGCATGTTCAGCCAGTCCCCAGTTGATGGACATCCCCTCAGATTCTAATTCTTTGTCACCACAAAAAGAGTTGCTAGAAATATTTTGGTGTATATTACTCCTTTTCCTTTGCCTTTAATCTCTAATGGTAGAA